CAGAGTTAGGGGCAGAGTTGGGACTACACCTCAGTCGGTCCTGGCCGCTGCCTTGTGTCAGTAGCTGGGGGCTGTTCCGTGAATGGAAGCTTGGGAGTCCAAAGTCTACTCTCTCCTGGATGGTGTCGGGGTGGAAGAGAGTGTGCCCGGTCCCTGACTCTGCCACCTGCTGGGCAGCTCAGAACCAAGCATGAGGGAGGGATGTGACTGGGCCCACGTCTGCTGTGGCGCCGCTCAGTCTGCCTCTCTGCCTCTTTCCTGTGGGTAGAGGACACTCAGGAAGTCAGGATGAGTTGGCAGCCCTTAAAGTAGTTCCCATCTCCCCTCTGTGCCCCATCAACAGGGCACAACCGTCAGCTCTGCCCCATGCCCAAACTAAGATCCCTGCTGCAGTAACTGCCAGGGCACAATCAAGGTCTCTGTTGCCCAGCAAGGCACCCAGATCCCAACGGGAGCTGACTCTGAAAGGCAACCAATGACTCCATCTGGAGCACAGTGGAGAACCCAGCAAGCTCCCAGCCTGCTGCCAATGCAGCACCACCAGCGCACGGCCCGCCCACCACACGCCAAGTCAGCAGAGAGCTGGAGGTGGGCTTTCCCAGGCAAGGCTGGCACTCCCTGCCGCCTCCCCCTCCCTCTCCTGCTTCCTCCCTCGGCCACTTGTCTTGGCCTGACCCTTGCTTGTATCTTATCAATCCACCCTTTATGCTGGGGGCTACTGGGCAGGCAGGGAGCCGTGTTCTCTGGGGTTCTGGAATAAAGGCGTCTAAAGAGCTGAGGCAGCCACTCAATTAGCTGGGAAGGACAAAAACACAGAGCAGGGAGCGGGAGGCTGGGCCTGTTTTCTGTGGTCTGTGGGAAAGGCTGCAGGAAAGGGGCCGATTGTGCAGATGGAGGAAGAGGTGGTTCTCAGGCCTGGGACAGATCTCTGAGAACGGTCCTGCAGGGCACCGACCCTAAAGGCCCTCCTCCAAAGACCAGGCAGGGACCAGCCCCAGGAGGGCTCCTCTCTCCACACGGAACCCCGTACTGAGGGCCAGACCAATGCAAGGCACTCTTGGGGATACAGAAGAGGAAGAGGCCACATTGGCTTCAGAACATGACGAGAGATAAGGGCAAAACCTCGGGCAGTTCCTCTGTGCCCGAGCGGAGAGGACCCTGCTGCTGCCACTCTCAGCCTTCTCCATGGGGACCCAAGAGCTCAGAGTTCTGGCCACCAGAGCAGTGTGACCCTGGGCAGATCCCTGGTCTCCCTGGGCCTCAGTTTCCCCATCTGAATTACAATGGAGATAGACAAGATGTTCTCTACATGCCCCTCCATGGGGATTGTTTTAGCTTTCTGATCCTGCCTCCAGAATTCCACTTGTCCAGGCCTGGAGGCCTGGACCACTGCGGTAAGAGATCCAAGACGGGCTTTGCCTGCCCCTGTAAAGGTGACCGGGCTCAGGAGGTGCGTAGGAGACCTCAGGCTGGGTCTCCATCTGCCAGAGAGAAGCCAGGTCTGAGCCAGATCTGGGTAAGAACTTGGGCATCCCACCCAGGTGCCCCACATGGCAGGGTCCCAGGCGGGGACGCCCAGGCAGTGTCTGAAGCTTTCCAGGCAGAGGTTGGGTGGGTGCCTTAGACCTCGTGGAAAGCATTTCTCTAAGGACCCCCAGAGGTTTTGCTGGTTTTGGCTGGCAGGGCTGGGATTACCACCTGTTTCCATATCATGGAGAAGGAATTACCTGCACTCATCCACTCTGACCCTTCGCAAGCCTTTCCTGCGAGCCCCCACCCCACCCCGATCAGCGGCTGCGAGGACAAGCAGGTCCTCTGCCTCCCACTGTCCCAACGAGCTCCTCCTGCTACCCGGCCTCAGACTGTGAGCTTCTTGAGGACAAGGGTCGTATGGGGCCTCTTTCCGGCTCCTCCAGCCTGAAACACCACCCCCTGTGACATTTGGGAAGGGTGGGAGTGACAAACGGAGGGAGGCCCAGCAAATCCCTTGACCCACAAAGGGCTTCACTGGGCTGGAGACCAGTGGAGCTGAGCACCTAGCTTCCCAACCACAAAAGCTCCCCAGGGGGTGTGGAGTTTCCTAGGAGGAGGGGCGTGGAGCCAGCCCCGGGCAGCAGCTCCAGCCGTCTCGCCTTGGCAGGTGCCCCCCCCCCATGCCCTCCCCTCTCTGTGGCCTTGATGCTGCTACCTTTCTCCACCAGGGCTTCGTGCTCCATCTAGAAAGGCCTAGAAAGTAAAAAGTAATGTGTCTCCAGGGCCCAGCACAAGGCTGCCTTTGTGTGAAGGTCAGATTCCAGTGCTCTGGGGCCCGGCTTCGAGCAGCTGCTCCTGGGAGTATAGCCAGTGGGGCAGCTCAGAGCTCAGCCTGGGGACCAGAGTTCAGGACCTCAAACTTTTGGGGAACTCAGAGAGACCTGGGAGCCTCTGAGGGCTCCAGAGTGAACCTCGATTCCTGTGTACAAGACTCCCAGAGCTCCTCAGAGGGGCTGCCAGGGTCCGCAGTTAGATGGAAGGGAGGCAGGGGCTGGCCAGACCTGGAGGGGTGAGTCCTGGGAGACCAGACTGCGTAGCTATCTAGGTCCCCAAGACGCAGTGTGGCCAGTTAAGAGTTCCACCTTTTACCAGCTGTGTGACTCTGAGAAAATCACTAACCCTCTCTGAGCTCCATTTCCTCTACCAAATGGGAATGATACGTGTGCTTTTCTGCTGCTGATAGGGCAATAAAATGAAAGAATACAAGAAGTTCCTTAGCACAGGGCTTGGCTCTTATTCAGGGTGCAGCCGTGTGGGGAAGGAGGACTTTAAGCCCTCCTACTCCCACAAATCCCTCCTCCCCAGCAGTCTTTGATAGGGATAGTTGCCTTTTCTCAATCTTATCAAAAGCGCTTTGTGAAAGGGCAGCTTCAACCTCCTCCCAATCTGTGCCAGCCCCAATCCCCCTTCCTGTACAGCGACTAGAGCCCAGGGCTCCCAAACTTCTGGGGAGTCAATAAGAAAGAGTCCAAGCTCCACTCCAGGCCTGCCACACAGTGGACACTCCATCCACAAGGATCTGGAACTCACCCACGCTCTAGCGCAGAGGATCCCCCTGCACCCCCAGAGATGCCAGCGACGCAGGAGAGGGTGCTGGACAGAACATTGCCCCCGAGCCAGGCCTGTGGGAGCCCATGAAGCCTGCTCAACACTGCCCTGGGCAGCACCTGGGGTCCCCCGGGGGCCTCCGCTCTGGGCGCCTGCTGACAACCACAGTGCCTCCTCCACCCGCCCCAAACTGTCCCTTTCTCCTTGCCACCAGCGCTGGAAGCTGAACTCCCAAGGGCAGAGCACTCAGTCCAGACCTCTAAGCCTAGAGGGAGCTTGAGGTTCTGAGGACAGCTGGAAGTCCTTCTAACACAGGAGGCCACTCTGCCCCCCAGCTCCCGGAGAGCGGCCCTCCTTCCTCAGCCTCTCCCTGCTCTTTGCAGAGGACCTGTCTGCCCTCAGACTGGGGGTTCTTTGAGGGCAAGAAAGAAGATTGTCCATCCCAGTGTCCCTCACAGCCCAGCACACAGGATGGAGGATCCGGGGCACGCCCACCTCGGCCGTCCCTGCCAACTTCCCAAAGTCCCGATACACTAGAGGAGCCTTGGCACCTCCCCTGCAGTTGCCCACCCAGTCCCTGCCTCTCCACCAAATCCAGGGCCTTCTCCATGTCCCCCCTCTGGCCCCTGGCTGCTCAGATGCTGCTATTCCAGCCCTGTCTGAGGGGACCCTCTCTGGGACTCCCTCCCCTGCTTGTTTAAAACCTGTCCATGCTGTGTGTCTGCCGCTGCACAGCTGCCAGATGACAGCCGTTCAGATGAAGCCACGGAGACCCGCAGGGCTGGGGATTATGTGTTTCTCCCTGGGGATGCCAGGTGCTTTTCAGGGGCTCCAAGGGACACGGAGCCTCCCCACACTGGCTCCCTTCCCGCCCCTGGAACTGCAGGAATGCCAGTGCCATCACTCACTCTCGGGCGTGCTGAGCTGCAGGGCTTTGCTGTGGCCCAGGGCCCTGGTGCCAACACCTGCTCTTTGAGCAACCCAGAGAAGGGATTCCAAGGCCTGGAGTGTCTGAGCCAGCTGGCAGGACTTGTCCCAGGTGGCTCAGCAAATCAATGAGATGTCTTGGAATCCTGGGAGGATGAATATGGGAGGCTCCCTGGACCCAGCTGGCCCTGTCCCTGGCCTCCCTCCGGTGCCTTTCAAACCATTCTCAGAAACCAGTTGGTCCTCTTCTTGGCCCAATCCCCTCCTTTATCTCTGAGGCGGGGGCGGGGCACGAGAGGAAAGACCCACCCCCACAGCTTAGGCCAGATCCCCGCCAAGGCCACCCGAGACACTTGGCCTGAGGGCGAGGCAGCTGGTCTGGTGGCAGTGACCCTCCGTGCTGGGTACCTATGGTTTCCTTTAGGTTTTGTAACTTCCGTTGTTGCTACAATGTTGTGCCCCCGATAAAGTGCACAAAAGCTGTATTATTATCATTCTGATGACTCTTCAGAGTAAATAACTCTGCCTTCCTCAAGGCACAATTATCTGATGGTGAAGATCAAGAAAAGAACATTTGATGTTTCATGCCTCCAAAACAAACTTTTCTAGCCTGCAGCCATCTGCCTGCCTCTCACCCTGGTTAATCCCAAAACCCCAAGGCATTGTTTACCTGGGCTTCCTCCTGTCCTTCAGCCACCCTGTGCTGGAGATCCGAGTTCCCAAGGCCTGGCCCCCTATGGTGTCCTAGCTGTCTCCTTCCCAACTTTCTTGAAGAAAAAAATCTCCCGCCCCCATTGCTTTCCATCACACCTGGCCCTGGTGGTGGCCATGAGGGGGGGGGGTTTAGTGGGGTCCCTGGGAGTGTGGAGAGTAGCAAGATCCCCAGCTGCTCCTCCCCGCAGTTCTGTGTGGTGGTCCCCCCCACCCCTCCAACACACCCAGTACGGTGTGGTGTCCCGCTCTGCCCCGCCCGCAGCCCCCAGCTGGCTTACCTGGAGTGTCCCACTGGGCCTTGGGTACCTTCTCTGGCACGGAAAACTCAAGAGCATGGTTCAGGGACTCTTTGGAGAGCGGCTGCCCGTCAGTCAGTGAGCTGGGTTGGTGGAGGGCCCTGGAAAAACATTCATTAGAATGTGGGGGACTGGCCTGGGCTTGGGGATTCTGGCCTGGTACAAATCTCAGCAACCTGAGGGGCCACTGGCATCTCTGTCTCCTGCACAGAGGAGGCCCCAGTGGGAGTCAGGGGACAAGACCTCAGTGGTTGTAGGGACTGACCCTGCCCCCCATCCAGCCTCCCTGCAGGTTCTGAGGGCTCAGGAGAAAGAGGAGTCTGGCCCTGCTGTGTTCCATGTCACCATGTGACCCTGGGCAAGCTCATGCCTCTCTCGGGGTCTCAGCGTCCCCACCTGGATAAGGAAGAGGCTGAGGTCTGCACCGGAGGATTCTGAACCCCACTCCTGGAGAGGGCAGGCTTCGGGGGTGGGGGTGCCCCCACCTGTCACTCCCTGTACCCACCAGTCCGAAGCCATGCCCTGAAACTCTGAGTGGAGCTGCAGGTACTCCTAGGGCTCTCAGGGGTCCTATTCAGGCCCCCAGTGAGGGCCTCCCCTCTTCCATGCCCCTGTGGGTGCACCCCACGTCTGCCATCTCCATGGAGAAGACAGGCTTCCTAGCTTCACTCCTGGCCCAGATGCCCTCGTCTCCCAGGCTCGCTGACTTGGCTAAAGGGTCTCTCCCTCTGGCCAGCCCATGAGTTTCATGGGTTTCTGGGTTTTGATTATCATCTCTGCCTGACCGCCCTTTAGCACCACCTGGCCAGACCTCAACCTCCTAGTTGGCTGAGCTCATGGATTTCAGTACACACTTCAACACTGCACAGAGTTGCAGGGTGACACAACTCCAGAGACACATTTCATAGTCAACAACTACGTAAAGCCGAATCCGCTGGAGTTGTGCAGCATGCAACCTGCGCAGCTGGTCAGTGTCCCTGAGGGCAGGACCGCGGCTCCATGGACTCCTGTGTGTCTGTCAGTCAGGGTGGGGCTGGCGCATCCCCGCCCAGCTCCCAGGAAGCCGGGTCAATTACCTGCTTCTCACACACCGCCTCACTCCTTTTCGGTACTGCAGGTTCCGAACAAAACTAAGTTTGTGAACACAGCCAGGCCCACCTGGCGGCAGTCTGTTTAAGAACCTGAGATGGGTTTTAAAGCGAAAGATATCAGAAGGTTATGAAGGGAGGGGCATGGGGAGGAGGGGGATGACTGGGGAACCGAAATGGCGCTGTTCTTGGGAAATCTGTGAGCCAGGCCTGGGCCACCGGGCTGGAGCAGCCCTTCCATTGCTGTGGCGACCCGCTCCAGGGAGGTTGGAGAAAAACTGGAGAGATGGCAAAGCAGGCTTCTGGGGCGAGGCCTCCTGCGCTGGGCAGACAGAGGCGCCTGAATGCGGCAGAACACATCCTACTGACTTTGGATCCTTGGTTAGGGCTCTCTGGGACAGGCAGGTAGAAGCAGCTTCCGCTTGGGGCTGCAGTGTTACCAAACGGCCCCTGAGCTCTGGGTTCAGGCAGTGATGGCAAACGAGGGTCATGCGCGCAGCTAGGCTCAGGGGCCTGCCCCGTGATCATCTGGGGAAGACTGTGAACTTGGTGGATGCCCCTGCCGCATCTCGGCCTGTGTCCTCAGAAGACGGTGGACAGCAGGGTGGACAGCACCCCAGGTTAGAGTTAGCAGCTCTCATCCGCCTCTGAGATCACCAGCCAGGCGGCCATCTCCACGTTAGCCAGGCAGGAGACTGTCCTTGGCTGTCATCTCCCACCATCTGCACTGTGTCCTCACAAACGTGCTTTTAAATCCTCCTTATTAAAAGGTACCGGCAGCATTTCTGTCCCCACAATAAAATGAGTGTAAACAGGTTCTGGTTTTAAAATAACTACACAAAGACTAAATGAATAGACAGTCACCGAAGGAAGCCAAGGGTGAAGCGTACTCGTGATTAGAACCTTCTGTTTGCAGGGAGGGTGAGCTTGCTGGAATCACCTTCTCGCTGTGGGTGTGTACCTTTTCCTGGAGGGCCAGTACCCAGTGCCAGATTCCTTGCTGCTCAGACACTGATCTTGTGCAGCAATCGTTCAGTGAGAGGGTGGCCCCTGGCCCTCTCCAGCATCTGTTTAACGAGAATACCTTTCTGCTCCCTGCAGCTGGCCCAAGGCGCTTCTTCAACTCTCTATGTCCTATGCTTACAGAATTTGGGGTGCGTGATTAAGAGAATATCAAAACCTAATTTTCCAAATGAATTAAGCTTGATCTTTTCCTTACTAGGGGCTTTGAGAGGCAGTTCCTTAGGAGATGTCATTTGAAATAGAATGTGCTAAGCCTCCAGTAGCTTTTTCCTGCTCACTCAGGGTTATAACTAGCAACAGGCTTTCCTGACCTGACTTGTCACACAGAAGCAAGTGGAACTGCTGGGGCCACCTACCTCTGCTGTCCGTGACTGCTGTCTCACACTTGCTGTTGGTAATGGTTGTTTTTCAGTTTTTATTTTCTAAGTATGTATGTATTTTTGAGACGGAGTCTCGCACTCTTGTCCAGCTGGAGTGCAGTGGCGCGATCTCAGCTCACTGCAACCTCCGCCTCCCAGGTTCACGCGATTCTCCTGCCTCACCCTCCCGAGTAGCTGGGATTACAGGCGCCTGCCACCACACCCAGCTAATTTTTTTGTATTTTTAGTAGAGACGGGGTTTCACTATGTTGGCCAGACTGGTCTCTAACTTCTGACCTCGTGATCTGCCTGCCTCGGTCTCCCAAAGTGCTGGAATTACAGGTGTGTGCCACCATGCCTAGCTGTATTTACTGTGTTTTTATTTATATATTGCAGACAGGGTCTTGCTCTGTCGCCCAAGCTGGAGTGCAGGGGTACAATCACCACTCACTGCAACCTCCAAGGCTCAGCAATGCTCCCCTCTCAGATTCCCGAGCAGCTGGGACTACAGGCTCACACCACCAAACCTGGATAATTTTTGTATTTTTTGTAGAGACAAGGTCTTGTTATGTTGCCACAGCTGATCTCCAACTCCTGGGCTCAAGCGATCCTCCCGCCTTGGCCTCCCAAAGCACTGGGATCGCAGTCAGGGTGGCGTGAGCCACCATGCTCGGCCATTTTTCAGTTTATAATCCTCTCCTATGTGACTAGCCGTCGAAGTCTGCTGCTGAAAGTCTTGCTACTTTCAGTGTGCTGGCTTCTAGCCACTCATCTCACTCCTACATTATCATTTCTTTTTGTAACAGAGTAGAAAACAAAACAGCCAAGCTCGTTAGAACTGTAGGTGACACTGGGGGACATGTTTCACGATGGACCCATCACGTGTTCCTGGAAGAAAACTGGGGAGCCCCCTACTCTGTTTGATTCCTCAAAACGTTTCAGGCCCTTCTCCTGACTCTTGCTCTATTCTAGGAAGGACAGGTGGCCACAGCTGATCTACAGGTGAGTGGCCGCTGCTGTCGTGGTGTTCATCACCAGCGCCCCGAAGGTGACTAACATGTTATTCCCATCATTCTGGAAAATTATACTCCTCCTGGAAGGCAGCACTCCAGAGGCTGGCAGAAGTCACCTAACATGATCGAATGACAATAATGGTGGGAGAATGGCCTGAGGAGGCTGACAGGCTTCTGTCTGCATTTTGAATTCCCAGGAGGAAGAAGAGCCTACAAGGACGGCCCTCTTTCACCCAGATGAGGACAAGGAATCGTTTTCTGCCCTCAGCTCACATAAGCACACTTGAAACTCATTGCCTTGCTCTCCTTTCACAGAAAACAAACAACAAAAAACTTTATCAGCACCTACCCAGCAGCATGGGAGCAACAAAGCAAAGGGCGTGTTTGGACAAATATGAGGTAAGATGTGTGTGAGGGTGCAGAGGAGCCTGGGAGCGTCTGCACTACGCCTTTCTCTTAACCATCTCTTGGTGGATTGGTGTCTCCTTACTCCTTCTACCTTGCCAGAGGAGCTGATGGGGACCATTTGAACACAGAGCCTCCCAAGCCTCCTTCAACTCCTCCTCCAGGAAGCCCTCCTAGATTTCCCCAACAACTTCTCACCCCTATGGCCCTTGGACACTCAGGTTTGGGCTCTGACAGTCACACATGGCTTGAGAGCTGGGGCCACTTCTGATTCAGCTGTGTTCTGTCCCTGTGAGTACTCACTGTTGGAGCTCAGTATGTGTTGATTGGACCTAACCCTTCTCAAGTTGTCACTATGTGTGTGACACATAAATCGAGGAGGACCCTCATTTCCCAGGTGAATGCTTCACGGATGAGGATCCATTTCCTATTTATTTCTGTTGCCCTTTCTTCTCAGCCTTCAGCAACCAGACCACTCTTACGTATGCAGTAGGTACTCCATGAATGCTTTCTTGAAACAGGACAGCATCAAAGTTCACCAGTCTGTCTGCCTGCTTGGGCTCAGCTCACTTTACTAGCTGCGTTACCATGGCCAAGTCACGGTTCCTCTCTGGCCCTCAGTTTTCTGCCTGTATCGTGTGGCTATCGCAAAGAGAAGGCGATACAGAAGTGCTTAGTACATACTCAGCTCTCATCGTTATTACCCATGGGCTTTCACGGAGCTTTTGGGGAGCAAGAAGAAAAAGATAATTTGGCAAGATTGAGAGGGTGACCAACAGAATAAAGCACCCCGAACCCAAGTCTGGGGGTCCAGGTTCCCTGCCAACTACTTTCCCTGGGAGACTGACTGGGGGCTGGGAGGTGGGAGACGGTGGGCTCCTTGTTCCTTACTCGGTCCTCAAGATGGAGCTGGCAGACCTGAGCAGGAGCACCTCTGGCATGGTGCCTGGGGGGAGGCTGCAATCTGTGTGAGCTTGCCCGGGAGAGAGCCAGAACCTCAGAGAACGTGTCACGGAGTCCCCCCGGGAGAGCCACAGCAGCTTCAGAGAGGCCCAGCTCCGCCGGACCGCCCTGCAACAGAGATACAGCGTGAGTCACCGCTGGCAGCCTGGCTGGGTGAGGGGACACCTGCCCTCCTTCCTAGGCATGACTCATTTGCTCCTGGGGTGGGACACCCAACTGTAATTTACGGCCTCCTAAGCCCACACCCTCAAATTCAATGGAGAACAACACAGGCCTTGCAGGAGGCGGCTGCCTTGGGGCTGTGGTCCCCATTCTCCAAGGCCAACTGATGAGCAAATAAATCAAATCTCCAGGACTCCTGCTCTGCAGAGACTTCTGGCTGCCACTCACCAGCCTCCCGGCCACTCTGGCAGTTCTCACCTCTCTCTGCTCAGTGGGCAGAGCAGAACTGAATCTCCGGTGGCTGGAGAACGCTCTCCATGGAAGGTGTTGCCTAACTAGCTCCCACATCCTAAAATCCCCAAACAGGGAGAAGAGCAGCACCTCCTCCAAGCCCCGCAGTGCTGGTCACACAGGCCTGTGCGCAGCCTGATGCTCCCAGTAGCAACCACATAGCCTGATGGGGAGCTTCACACTGGCCTCCCCATCTCCCTGCACAGCGGACCCCACGCCCCCTGCTTCTCCTTAGTCTGCATGACTACCTCACCTCAAAGATCAGGCCGCTGGCGGCTCCCTCCTGATTCCCAATTTCCAGCCTGAAGACTCCCGCAGAGGACTCACGGTAGAGGGTGTGCCTGGAGGTCGGGCTGCCCCAGGGTGCTCACCTTCCTCCTTCTTGCACCTGGCAGGCACAGGACTCAGCATCCCCTCTGCTCCCTCAGCTAAGGCATGCTGAGTCTGGGAGCCAGCGGCAGTGAATGCCCCGGGTTCCGGGTGATGAGGCCGTGGGGTTGGGCATAAGTGGGGACCCGCCCCAGCCCGCCCTGGGGCTGCCGTCGAGGTGTGGCCCCAGATACCTCTGACCTACATGGCACGGACCCCAGCTGCCCACCTGTGTGGCTCTTATGTAAGAAGGGCGGGCAGCAGGAGAGGGACCTGCCAGTCCAGGCACGAGAGACAGTTTGTTGCCCGTCATCCTTGGCAGAAGCCTCAGGAGACATGGTTCCTGCCACTGGGTCCTCCAGGGCTGGGCGAGAAGCTTGTCTTTTTGTTTGATTTGCTTCTTTACTAAGCACACGGACTATGTCGAACGCTTTGCGTTGTCTCCTCCCATTCTTTCCACGGCCCTGCAGAGTAGGTTCTATTAATAGTCACGTTTTCCAAAAGAGATGATGGAACTCCAGACTTGCTCAGTGTGGTCCAGGTGGCAAGAGGCAGAGCCAGCATTGTGAAGCCGGGTCTCCACGCTGGCTCTGAAGCCAGGATGCTATGTAGACAAGGTTTACCCAGTATGCTCATGTCATAAAACTCAGCCAGCCACTCCAGCTCCCCATCCCCTCTGGAGAGCCCGTATTCCATGGTAACAAATGTCCCTGCACCTTGCCCTGTGCCTTCTAACACCCTCCACCCTTCACCTCCTGCTTCACTACAGGGGCTAGCAGGTTTGTGGCAGCAGCCAGCCCCACCAGCATCTTCCCACTTCCTGGAGTTTCCTGGGGGCTGCCCCTGGTGATCTGCCCTCCTTTCAGCCCCTGCTCCCCCTTAGGGACCTTGCACACCCCCTCAACTTTAATTATTACCTGCAAGCTACGACTCTCAAATTCCAAACTGCCTCTGGGTTGAGTGGGGGTTGGATGAGGTGAAAAACTGAAGGCAGCCTTAGCCACTGTTAGGGGGAAATTTTAAGCCCTATTTTTTTCTTTTTTTTTTTTTTTGAGACGGAGTGTCGCTCTTGTTACCCAGGCTGGAGTGCAATGGCGCGATCTCGGCTCACCGCAACCTCCGCCTCCTGGGTTCAGGCAATTCTCCTGCCTCAGCCTCCTGAGCAGCTGGGACTACAGGCACGTGCCACCATGCCCAGCTAATTTTTTGTATTTTTTTAGTAGAGACGGGGTTTCACCATGTTGACCAGGATGGTCTTGATCTCTTGACCTCGTGATCCACCCGCCTTGGCCTCCCAAAGTGCTGGGATTACAGGCTTGAGCCACCGCGCCCGGCCTTTTTCTTTTTTTAAGGTAAAGTCTCACCCTCTCGCCCAGGCTGAAGTGCAGTGGCTGCATCTCGGCTTATGTTAAACTCCACCTCCTGGGTTCAAGCAATTCTCCTGCCTCGGCCTCCCGAGTAGCTGGGATTACAGGTGTGCACCACCACACTTGGCTAATTTTTGTATTTTTAGTAGAGATGGAGTTTTTGCCATGTAGGCCAGGCTGGTCTTGAACGTCTGACTTCAAGAGATCTTCCTGTCTCGGCCACCCAAAGTGCTGGAATTACAGGTGTGAGCCACTGCACCCAGCCTAAGCCCTAATTTTAAGGCCAAGGGGCAGGGCACAGAGGCAGCAATGGGGACAGGGTTGTTCAAGGCTCTCCACCTAGTCAGGTGGCAAATAACTGTCAGATTGCCACCCTAAACTGGTAGGTCAACACCAGCACTCTGACTTCTGGAGAATTCTGCCCTTCACCAAATTTCAATTCCATCCCAGCAGTCCTTGGCCATTGTCACTTCAGAACACCCTGACATTTGACTCTGATGGGTTAGGACCCTTTTTGAGAAGCTGCTGGGAGCCCTCCCGTCGACCCCCATCAATGCACTTTGCACCCGGATGCTCTCTTGCTGTTTTATGTTCTCATGGGACTTCGGAAGCTCAGGTTATATTAACAACCCCAATCCTAGTGAATCCCAGAAAGGAATTCAAACCTCTCCTTTGTCCTGAAGAGCTAAAAATGAGCTTGTTTCTCTTCTCCTCCTCCCTGTCTTCTGGTCAGGGCTGAGCCGCGATGTTAATGAATGGAGTTGTCGCTGATACTTGATGTTGGTAGAGGATGACAGTAGAAATGTCCTCGAATGTCCTTCAAGGGTGGCTCTGGATGCAGTGTCCAAATTGATGAGGTTTGGAAACCTCAACAGTTAGAAAGCCAGCGCATGGCTCATTTAAGATTAGGAAGGCCTGGGAAACATAATTTACCCTTTCTGTCTCCTTGCAAAACCCACTAGCTGACCCGCCCTGGCAGAGCTGCCTGTGACTCTTCAGACCTTGCCTTCTCTGGGAGGGACCTCAGCCCTTGCGCTTCTTCCTGGAACTGCCCTGGCTGATCTCATCTCAAGGTACTTAGCATTTAGAAACTGGGTATTGTTTGTTTTAAAAAACACAACTGCCTGCCATGAAATGAAAATATTAATTAAATCTTATTCCCAAAGTTAGAATTGATTTCTCCCAGCCCCAGTAACTGACAGTTCCCCAGGGATCCTCTGTCCTTCTGAGTATTGATTTAGGACCTCCTCTGTGTCAGATGTTGCATGGGATGAGGGGGTAAAGTGACAAGAATGGACATGGTCTCTGCCTTGAAGGTTTAGAGATGATGGGATCGATTAACAAAGATGCATTCATTGCAGGGCTGCTGGGCTCAGGCCTGGGGAGGGGGTGTAATGAATAAAGGGGGTTCAAGGAAGAAAGCTGGCAAGGAGTAAAGGTCTGATTATTTCATGGGAGACAGTGTGGGAGGCTGATGCAGAGAAGGGGAGTCAAAGCCAAGATGATAGGTGTGGGCTGTGGACCATCCCTAGTCTTGGTTTACCAGCTCACATGGGTGGGGTTTTGGGCTGAGCAGAGATCCGCTAGGGACCTATAATCTGTCAGAAAGGGTAAGGGTAGGGGCAAGACATATCCCCCCAGAATCCACCAGAAAGAGCATATTTGGAGCTGGTACCTTGGAGCCCCCAGACCAAGACCAACGGAAGTGTGTTTGCTGAGAGGCCCCAGCCCGGAAGCCTCATCCCAGCTGCACTGTGGCTCCTGCCTTGGTGGGTGGAGCAGCTCAGCCAGCTCACTTCTTACCCAATTGGCAGTGCTCACAGTGCTCATAGTCCAACCCTGTCAAGCCAGATCCCACAGCCTGCTGTATAGAAAAAAAGGTGTCAGACATCAAGTTCCACTCCAAAGCCCTAAGGGAGTTGGCCAGCAGCCTGGCCGTACCCAGGACAAAGTTCTCCGGGCACTGGAACATCCGGCTTCTAGCCCAGGCTGTTTCAGTTTCGTGACCTTGGGCAACTCCCTGGTTCTTTCTGGGACTCTGTTTCCTCAGATGTCACAGATAAAGGGCCTTCTCATTTTCTATCTGTGATCGGTCATCTAGGGCCCTGGGCTGGAACCCTGCTATATCAGGTAAGGACAAGGCTGCAAAGTTGGGTGTTGCCAGGCTCCCAGGCCCAAGGGGGTGGAAGAAAATCAGGAATAATCATGATGCTTGCTAGTAACGAACATGTATGTCAGTCAATGTTCTATGCACCTTACACGTGCAATCCTCATAAGAGCCCAGTGAGGTACTGTGACCATTCTCACTTTACAGATGAGGAAACAGATACAGAGAAATTACGGGAATTACCAAGGTCCTTTGGTTAGAAGAGTCAGAATATAAACTTGGGCAAGTAGGTGCCAGAGTTTATGCTCCTATCAAGTCAGCCATACTCAGTAGTCTCAGGCCTATTGGGTGACTGGGGTGGAGCAGGACAGCGACAAAGGGCAGGAAGGTGCTGAGAGTCAGGCCCTTCAGGGTACTCTAAACCCCCGCGTCCAACCATCCATCATCAGACCCTTTTGGGAAGTGTTGTATATAAACAAAGTGCATATATTAAATCATAATTCAGGTATTTTCATTTCAGACACAGAGAATGTCACTGGTGGTTTTGGTCACCACAGGGAGGGTAGTGTGACGCTCAGAGCCGACGTAATCCCAGCCCAAAGCAAAGACTACCAGAAAACCACCATCTCCCCATTGCTTGCCATTTCGATTTGAAGTGCCACAAGCATGACTTTAGGTACCTCTCTCTTAGGAGGCCCTCACTTAACCCATCTGTGAAGTGGGGGAAGAGTGGATGGGACAGGCTGTAAGCCCCAACTCTTATGATAGGTGGTTCTCTACCTTTCTTCCAGGGAGACGAGAAGAAGAAAGAACACCACCTATTCCTCAAACTCCAGATGAACTTTACGGGGGTGGGGGTGGGGCGAGGCCGGGGTGAGGCTTCCAACAGTGAGGGCATTGCGCTCTGCAGAGGGCTGATTCTGGTTCACAGACTTGGTCCCTGTCATGGAGGAGCCCAGGGTTTGAAGAGCAACATGAGAAAAGAAACACATACACAGCCTGAACATGGGAGACGCAGCTCCGAATGTGGCAAGCAAAGGGGTCAGGCCGTGGAGGCACAGAGCAGGGGGAGCCTGGCCCTTTAGGGACTGTTATTTCACTTTTTAAAAAGTGAGAACTCACATTTGCTGAGCACTTAGTAAGTGCCAGGCATGGTTCCAATTGCTTTGCACAAATTAACTCATTTGATTATCTCCTATCAAGTGGGTACTGAATCATAATCCCTATTTTGTGGGGAAATGAAAGAATATCAAGATGAAATAATTTGCTAAAAGTTATACAGTTAGTAATGGGGATGGTCGAGTTTTAAATTAAGGCAATCTGACTTCAGATTACATCATCTTTTTTTTTTTTGAGACAGAGTATTGCTCTGTTCCCGAGGCTGGAGTGCAGTAGCACGACCTCAGCTCACCGCAACCTCCGTCTCCCAGGTTCAAGTGATTCTTCCACCTCAGGCTCCCAAATACGTGGGATCACAGGTGCCCATCATCATGCCCGGCTGATTTTTGTATTTTTAGTGGAGACGGGGTTTCACCATGTCGGCCAGGCTGGTCTCAACCTCCTGACCTCAGGTAATCCGCCTGCCTCAGCCTCCCAAAGGGCTGGGATT